ACATTTGCTATGAACTTTGATGATGAAAAAGATTTTAAAGCAAGTGAGGGGTGGCTCGAAGCCTTCAAAAAAAGGCACGGAATCAGATCTTATATTCTTCATGGAGAATCCAATAGTGCTCCATTGGTTGACTTACCTGAGGCACATTCAATACTTCAAGATATTATCTTGCAGTATGATCCAGATGATGTGTATAATGCCGATGAAACTAGTATATTTTATCGTCTACTTCCGAACCATACTCTTTCTACTACTCAAACTTCTGGAACAAAAAAAAACAAAGAACGAATTATCATTCTTTTTGTATGTAATTTGACAGGCTCACATAAGATTAAACCCCTTGTCATTGGTAAGGCTGCCCGGCCTATAGCACATAGATTCTTAAATATGAATAACTTACCCATAACATATCAATTGAATGCAAAAGCCTGGATGACTAGTGAAATCTTTAATAAATGGCTCAAGACTTTGAATACTCAAATAATAAGTCGAAATAAACAAATCCTTCTCTTAATTGACAATGCCTCATGTCATGGTAAAAACCACAATCTCAGCAATGTGACAGTCAAATATTTCCCACCCAATATGACATCTCACTTATAACCGTTAGATGCTGGTATCATTGCCACATGCAAAGCTTGGTATCGTCGCTTCCACCTATTACATCTGGTTGACCAATATGATGGCAAGGTTGAAATGGCGAAGGTTTCTATTAAAGATGCAATTTACTTTCTTGCAGACTCATGGAATCAAATTACTCCAGAGACGATCCACAATTGCTGGAAGCATGTAAGAATCATGGATACAGAATTACCATTATTGCCACCAAACATCAATGTTGAAAGTGACATTTATACAAATATTACGCACTTAATTAATCAGCTTGATATTAATCCTGAGATTCAGATGTCTACAGAGCAGTTTCTTGAAATGGATTCTGCTATTGCAAGTCATGAAATCATGTCTGATATGGAAATTGTGGAGGAAGTTTTGTGCCGCTCTAATCCTTTGCCACCTGAAAACAATTCTGAAGACGAGGTAGCACCATTGCCAATGACTGCGATGCAAGGAAAAAAATGCTTGAAGGCACTCTTTTGTGGTGTGAACAGCAGGACGAAGTGGAAATTAATGCAGAGTTTTTAAAAAAACTTAGGCAGCTAACACGAAAAGCTACATTAAAGGTAGCACAACAAAAGAAACAACAGAATATCAGTTCCTTTTTTGATAATGAATTATAATTACCATTACATGTTAATAATAAAAATAAATATATTACCGTTACGAGAGTATTTTTACATATACAGTATAATGATTACTTGAAAATGAAGTTGTGTCTAATATATCGAAAATTTAATTCTAAGAGAAAAAGAAAATCGATGTACTTATGTTAGCTGCATTTATCCAATCATAATAAATGTTTTTGTATTATCCATTTTTTCAAAGTCACCTTTATCTAAAATCACCAATATTTATTTGTCCAAATAAGGTGACTTTAGACAGGGTTGACTGTACCAAAGTGATATCGAAATGGTACTGATCTATAGTAAATTTAATATATGGGTTATAACCCATTTATATGAATTTATAGTAAATTTAAGTATCGAACTGATATTGAAGTGGTACCATTAGGAGCCCTAGTTATGATTAAACTTATAGTTAATAGTAATATTAGCATATATAAGACTGTTCAAATATATGGCTCGAATATAATATTCAATAAAAATCATAACATTAAATACCCATTTATTTAAAAAAAATAAAAAATAATAATATAGTAATAATAATATAATAGACTACTATATATATATATATATATATCAAAAATAAAAAGATATATTATTTTAAAATTATTTTAATATAATATAATTTAAAAAAAATCAGAATTATAAATTTATTAATAATTCAATAATTAATTATTAAGTTTTTTAATATCTTATTAATAAGTTTATTATAAGTTATATATATAAATAATATAATAATTTTTTTGCTATATAATAAAAAATTATTTTTTTTAAGATGCTAAATGCAATAATCACAATTGTTTTTATTAATAAATGTCTTATATCAAGCTTATATTATAGCTGAGGACTTATACAAGCCAATATATTGCATATTCTATACAGATTATTCCTTATATATTACTTTACTTCTGATATTCAAAAACCTATTATATTAAATAATTATTACTTTTAACAATTTTCCTAGTGATATTAGAAGGAGATCTATAGGATATAAAAATCCTATTACTAGTTTTAAACTATCAATCCTATTGGTTCAATAATTAGTCTTCGAAAAATCTTGATTAGAAGAGTTGATTCAAGTATTTCTTTTAACTTATCACTTGAATTTCAAACCACAACTTGTATCAATTTTGGACTTATACAAGCTATGATTCTTGTTATTACCTGCAATTGATATTACTATTTAAGCTTTGCACCAGATTGGAATAGTTTAAGCTAGGTTTTCAATCACTATTGAAAGATATTATATAGGTTTTTGTTAAGATAAAGTATAGTCCAATCTATATATGTAATATAAATTATTTTTCTATTAACTCAATTGCCAAAATTCTTAAAAATAATTATATTTAACTCAATTATTTTATATGTTTTAATAGTGACTCAATTAATTGTATCAAATAATTACATCAAATTGTATCAAGAATTTATTAATTTTTATCATATATATAGTTTAATCTATATATTCAAATATGTTATTGTTATTGTAGGAATTAATAAGAATTAGTTAAAATAGAGTATAATTCAGTTTACATATTCAAATATAAGAATTTCCAATTGTTTAATAATTATCATAGCACTAATTGGACAATTATTGCATCACTATATTTTTTTTGAAGAAATCACAATCTCAATATTCACTGGATTAGCATGTGAAATGGCTTCTTATAAGAAATAGCACTTAACAGGTCATGGTATCAGATATTATATTAATATTATTTAACTATCTTTATCTGAAATTGAACTAATATTTTGTGATTTGAACCTGGAAGCATTGATCACTATACTATTAATTTACAGATCATAAAAATTTTTTATTTAAATACTATAAATATCTTTATATAAAATTATTTTATTGATTAATTTAATAAAATTAATAATAATAATTTTTTAAAATACAATAGAAAAAAATTTTTTTTTTATATTTTATTATAAATTAATATTAAAATTAATAAAAATGGAATAATCTAGATAGAACATCCTGTTCCAGGAACTATCTCGAAAAATCCATGTGACTTGTGAACCTCTATTATGTAACACGTGATAACTATAAGTGACTTTTTGGTTACGTGTTTGTATTGGCTACAAATCACAATTCCAAATAACTAGTGTAACTGTTGCTCTTTTCATTTTTTCCTTGCGCGATATTCGTGTTCTCTGAATTTTTTGTAACAAGGCCCAGTTTTATTGAAAATAGTAGCAGAACTTCATATTCAAAGTATGAATTATGTGTTTCAAGTGTCAA